TGTGTGAGTGTGAGTGAGTGAGTGAGTGAGTGAGTGTGAGTGAGTGAGTGAGTGAGTGTGAGTGAGTGAGTGAGTGTGTGTGTGTGTGTGTGTGTGTTGTGTGTGTGTGTGTGTGTGTGTGTGTGTGTGTGTGTGTGTGTGGTGTGTGTGTGTGTGTGTGTGTGTGTGTGTGTGTGTGTGTGTGTGTGTGTGTGTGTGTGTGTGTGTGGTGTGTGTGTGTGAGTGAGTGAGTGAGTGAGTGAGTGAGTGAGTGAGTGAGTGAGTGAGTGAGTGAGTGAGTGAGTGAGTGAGTGCGTGAGTGAGCGAGCGAGCGAGCAACGCGGTGTGTGCGTGTATTCGTATTTATTTGTGTCCGTGTGTGTTTATACGAGTGTTTATTTCCTTGTCTGTCTGTATACCTGTCCAAGGCAAATAGGTTTTTTCCTCCCCTCCCCCTCCCCGCCTCTCTCACAACGGAACCAGATTACCTCTATACCGTCCCGACCTTTCAACCCCCCATCAAGCAATCTCAGCCTCAATTCCCGCCCACCCAGAGGAACCTTTCAATAAAGACCCCTGGTAAGTGATGTCGCAACCCCTATTCCCAGCAGGAGAAGATGTGCCCCTTCCCCTCCTCCCCCCCCAGCCCTAGCCCTAGCCATGAGCACCCCCTTCCCCCCCCCGCCTAGCCATGAGTCCCCTCCCATGAGCACCCCTTCCCCCAGCCCTCCCGCTCTAGCCATGAGCACCCCCTTCCCCCCCCCTCCGCTCTAGCCATGAGCACCCCTTCCCCCCCAGCCTCCCGCTCTAGCCATGAGCACCCACCCCCAGCCCTCCCGGTTCTAAGACATTAACCTTGTTATCTCACAGTTACTAACACGATAACTAACTTACTTCCCGTCCGATCCTGCACTTAAGTCGGGTAATCTCATCTGAGAGAGTCGAGGCCGCCCGCACCGCCTGACGAAGGACGCGGTAATAGGCTGCAAATAGGCAAGTAGGCATAGGCGCTGCTTTCGAGGGGCGTGCAGCAGCCGTCAACTTCGCGCGGCCGTAGTTATGACGTAGAAGCGATAACGAACGATTACGTCGGATTTAAACCATGGAAGGGTAAAAATACAACATATGGGAATTACAGGAGCAAGAGGGGTCGGAATGAATAAATGGCGTAGGGGAGAGAGAAAATGAATGCGAGACAAACACGGGCCGTATTTACAAGCACACACGTCATGCGTCAAAGGCAGCGTGGCAATGAAAACCGTAGGGGGGGAAAGGGGAGCTGGGGGGAGGAGGGAGGGAGGGAGGGGCATCAGGTGCTTGACATTAAGCAGAACAAGAAGCAACAGCGCGCGAGGATGACCAGGTGGGGCACGCGCATGACACACTCCCCTGGCACTCCGCTGCCTCGGGATGAATGTCACCAGCATCACCCGAATGACACACGCGCGCGACGTGCCTGCATGAATCACGCACAAAAACCCGCCCTCAGTCACAGTCCTTTGTTCGTGGCGTCCAGGCGCTGACCCGGGGCTTGCTGTCGCTGTTCGTGCCTGGCGTCCACAACATTAGAATGCCAAATGCGTCGCTGCGCCCGAGGGTTCAGGTCGGGCCACTGAGGGCGCGGCGACGTCCAGCTCGACCGCCCGACGAAATGGACGTCGGCACCGGTCGCCATTTGCATTCATTCTTTCGCGGCGGCGGATTCAAATATCCGGCGGCGTGGGAAGTGCCATTCGTATCAAATAGATAAATCAATAAGCTATTGCATGGGAAGTGCCAATCGGCTATTGCATTCATTCTTTCGCGGCGTGGGAAGTGCCATTCGTATCAAAAAGTAAATAAATAGATAAATCAATAAATAAAAACAAGATCTATAAAAAAAAATCTACCGAAGAGTGGAAACTTCAACAAGAACTTTGCCCTAATTTACCGAAAGGAAAAAAAACCTTTTCATTTCGGAGATGTGACGGCTACGAAGACACAATGTCCTCGGGGGAGAGTTGGTGGGAGTTCAACGCACTCTTTTCTCTTCTTTCGCGTCTCCCTCCACTACCACCTCCTCCTCGACCAGCATCAGAGGAAATGCTCGTTCAAGTGGCACCGCAAGGAGGCCTGGAGGAGAGAATTAAGGCACCAGCAGCTGAAGAGGACTCGCTAGCAGATCAAGACGCCAACACAATCTCCCAACGAGAGGCGAAACCGCGACAAGATATTTCCGAAGACGAGAAAACTGGCTTCATCAAACATCTCGACAGAAGGCCATTGCTGAACGTCTTGCCACTCTAAGGACTTCAGCGAGAGTCCGAGAGTCCATTCAATATTCTGGCGAAAGAGTCCGAGAGTCCACTCAATATTCCGGCGAAAGAGTCCGAGAGTCCATTCAAGATTCCGGCGAAAAAGTCCGAGAGTCCATTCAATATTCCGGCGAAAGAGTCCGAGAGTCCATTCAAGATTCCGGCGAAAGAGTCCCAGAGTCCATTCAAGAGTCCGAGAGTCAATTCAAAATTCCGACGAGAGGCCGAGAATCCATTCATTATTCCGGCGAGTTCGAGAATACGATCAAGATTCCGAGACTCCCTTCAAGATTCCATCGAAAAGTCCGAACGGCCGAGAATCCACCCAAAAATCCGGCGAACGACCTTGACCGGGACCAAGTCGTGAAAGGGGCAGGACGCTACACCTCGGGACTCCTCCTGACGCGAGAGGTCGAGGCGAGAGTCCGCTGAGCCTCGGGAGCAAGCAGGAGGCATGCGCACGGCGAGGCTCCAGGCAAGCCAAACGAGTTTTTGCTTGAGCCAGGCACTTCCACGGGCGAAACCCCCTCGTCCGGCCAGCAGCATTCTTCGCTCGTGCTTTTCCAGGAAATGGCATTGTTATGACGCTGTACTTAAAAAAAAAAAAAGAAAAAGAAAAGAAAAGAAAAAACGAAAAAATAGAGCTAACGAGCTGTGTTTGCGAGGCATCGAGTGAGTGTGAACAAACAAACTATTATTAACCTTTTCTTTATTGTTCTTGTACTTCTCTGTTGTTTTTGTTGTCGTTGGTGTTATCGTTTTATTGTTGTTGTTGTTGTTGTTGCTGCTGCTGCTCTGTTGCTGATGTTGTTATTGTTGTTGTTGTTGTTGTTGTTGTTGTTGTTGTTGTTGTTGTTGCTGCTGCTGCTCTGCTGATGTTATTGTTGTTGCTGTTGTTCTTTGTGAGAATGCAAATATGAACTCTCTGCGCAGTATCTTTTCTTTCCAACAATCATTTCTATAAAATCTCCCGAAGAAAAATATAGTCATAATGAACGAGGGCGTCCTTGGAATTAACAAGCAAAACTTATTCTTTTCTCACAATAGCAAGAAGTTTCTCTGTATTCTTCGCTTACGCCGACAAATTGCCTCACCCGCCAGATCCCTCGCAAACAATCCAATTAAAACCTGTTAGCGAAACGTCAGAATTAACAAGCGCATCACCTCCACGATAGAGAACAAGGGGCTTATAAATGACCAGCCCTATAAATGACCATTCTATCAATAAACCTAGCAACAATGCCAACACTACGCCTCTCACTTGCACAGTTCCTCTCTGCCGTATATGGAGAACCAATTACGCCAGAGACCCGGAAAAAATCCCCCAGGAATCTGTCGCTACGCCATCTAATTGGGTCGTTGCAAACCTCACTCGAATCTTAAGCGCGATGTTGCAAACCCGAACCATTCTGGCAGCCGCGCTATCTGTTGCATATATGGAACGAGTGGATGTGTGTGCTCTCGGATACGGCGTCACTCTCACTGACCCGACGACATAAATACCACTCCATGTAGGGGAATTATGACGACATATGGACACAAATATGAAACGAGGTTGTTAGAATGCTAGACCACTGATGAAAAGGGGTTGCTAAATGTTGCACGGAGGAGAGGAGGGAGGGGGGGGACTTCGCTGATTTCATTCCCCGAGTGGAATTCTTGGAAAGGGAAAGGAATAAATGAAGAACAAGGCGAAAAAGATGAAAGAATGAAAGAGAAAAAATAATTGAAGCAGCTGAGTTCTCAAATGATGTGACAGGAGAAGCCGGGAAGCCAGCCTCGCCTCCTGTCATCTCTTCAACATCCTTAAGATAATGAAGCAAATATCCTGGGAGACCTTGGCAGTTCCGCTGTCAATCGTATCGATTTCAAGAGCTGACATTCACAGGTGGAGGCACGCAGGCACACACGCACGCGCAAGCAGTCATGACGTAAAAAGTGAATGAGAGTCTGTGGCAAGCATGTATACAGACACACACACACACACACACACACACACACACACACACACACACACACACACACACACACACACACACACACACACACACACAAAATACACAATACACACACACACTGCATATATCTATATTTGTATATATATACAATTACATCTATCAATATTTATATATATACAGCTATATACATACATACATACCGCATATACCAAAATGTCAACACACGATTACAAGGACTCACGCACAACTCATGACAACAATGGAATGACCTATACCCTATGTGTAAAATGGGTTGCTGCTGTTGTTGTTTTCGTCTGAAATTTTTAGTATTTTGCCTCGAAATATTATAGACTTTCGGTTTTGTTTGTGAATGCATCATTAGGCATAATATTCCACTGAGATACAGTACACCACACATCCAAGTTACTGTAAGTATGTACTGTATACGAACGTGGAGTCCATGGGCATATCTACACAGGAATACATTATATACACATACACAGTCACATCGCAAATGCACTGATTCAATGACGTCACACTGAAAGCACTTTTCATTCCGCCTCAGTTGACATGAATCCTTATGACAAACATTTCTGTTTCGCCATTTTAACTCCCTGACATAGGCCTACACAAATCGATCTAATGGGTGTTGCAGGATGCCAAAAGGAAATCAAATCATTGTTTATTCTATCTCAACTTGCCACGTGTTCTCCTCAATTATTCACGAGGACCTGAAAGCACACTTGTAGCGAATTAATTTGATAATTACCTGAGCTACAGCTGATTGTGGAAGCCTTCATCGTCTGCATTTCCAAAGCTGTTGGCGTCATGGTAAGCATGATGGACCATGACACAGGTCAAGCACGACCACGAGAGAGTGAATAAGGACACGACCACACAGACACACACTTTAAAACACCGTTAGAGCACTCAGACAACGGTTATTTTTTTTAAACGGGCCGCACCATCCGCACACAGGACGCCAAAGCACTTCACGCGAGTCCCACTCCGTGTTTCGCAATGCTCGCACTCCACGTGAAGCTCACTCCCTCAAGGCAGTTATCCAAATCGAAGGACCGAGTAGCCGAGTCGCCAGAACCAGCGAGCGTCACGCTGACCCGACACCCTCGCGCCACAAAAGTCGCCTCACAACTACGGCCTCTTTAGTCCTATTCAGCCGTGTGAGAGCCAGGCAAGGGGGAAAGATCTGTGTTGTATCTCCTCAATCACCACCTCGCTGCTTGAACTCTCCGGCTGATTCACCGCAAGCAACATCTGCCTCGCGAACCGTCAGCGAATCGGCCTTTAATTTTGGCGCATCGTTGCAGAATGCCGGACACCCGTTCGTAAATCGGTAACAGGCAACTGAACGATCAGCTGGTCGTCTGGATATCGGCTGCGGGAATTTCTTAAACCCTCCAATATATTTTTTTACAACTTCCTCAACTCTTACGAACACAAAATGTACATCACTGATGGCACTTCAATAAGACACTTTCGAGCGACCACACAGCAAGTAACTAGCCGTATAACGTTCACACTTAGCACTTGCGACAGGCAGGTGTGACCAACGTGCCAGCGACGGTTTCATACAAACGCAATGGCTGGCCTGGAGCATCCCCTGCTCACCGGCAGTCGAATCCACGCTCACAAACACGGACAAGGAACAGTGCAAAAGAACACAACGACACCGTAATGGCCAACCAGTCAAAACCACCCCCGCTAAAATCGGCGAAATTATCACGCATCGGCCACCCCTTAGGACTGCCGCAGCTGCTCATGTCGAGGGGGAGGAGGAGGGGAGAGGGGAGAGGGGGAGGGGGAGGGGGAGAGGGGGCGGGCGAGCGAGGGTGCGGGAGAGGCGGCGAGGAGCGGAGGGACCAGTGTCTTCGGAAGGAGGGACACCGAGAACACGGGGTTATGAGGTACTTTGGAAGGGTGCTCGGCTCTGAGGCGTGAATGAGCGAGGAGCAGAGGGGGAAGAGGAGGAAGAGGAGGAGGAGGAGAGGAGGGGCTGGAGGGCGGACGCGACCCGGGTGAGCGGGGCACGGCGTCGCCAGAGTGAACCGCCCCGTCAAGGTCGGACAGGTCATGACGGCAGCACGTACCGGGTACCTCATGACTTGCTTGCGGTTCGTTCAGCGCCTCCTCCAGGTGTGTCACGAACGAGGCAGTGTGCGCCGGTCAAGACGATCAACATGAGCCAAAGTAGGACACGTTGAACGCTACTAATTTCATCATATCTCCTTTCATACACCGTTTCATTGTCTTCTTTCATACACCGTTTCATTACGGATTCATTTTTTTTTTATCGGGTGGGTGTGAAAGTATAGAGATTCCAGCATGACAAAGCAACCACAGCGGAGAAATAATCAATTTTAACATTCCTAAAACCATTTCATAAGAGGCAGTCTAGCATTCATTAACGTTTTTCGTAGTTTTTTTCTTTTTCTTTTTTTTTGGCAACACGATTTTCAATTTCTTTTTCTTTTCTTTTTTCTTTTTTTTTGCAACACGATTTTCAATTTCTGGAACCAATTCTTGCAAGTCATCTCACGCTCTCTTGTTATTGACAGTATTTCCTCCAGTCTGAAGCAATTATTCGAGAATCGCAGCTGCTTAATGGTCTTTAAATAACCCAGGGCATATCAGCTGATCCCTCTCTTTGATTTCGGAGGATACTTCTTTGCACTTTGTCTTCTGCACTGTCTCTGTCTCTGTCTCTGTCTCTGTCTCTCTCTGTCTCTGTCTCTGTCTCTGTCTCTGTCTCTGTCTCTCTGTCTCTCTCTCTCTCCTCTCTCTCTCTCTTCTCTCTCTCTCTTCTCTCTCTCTCTCTCCTCTCTCTCTCTCTCTTCTCTCTCTCTCTCTCTCTCTCTCTCTCTCTCTCTCTCTCTCTCTCTCTCTCTCTCTCTCTCTCTCTCTCTCTCTCTCTCTCTCTCTCTCTCTCTCTCTCTCTCCCCCCTCCGCATTCCCTTTCAGTGCCATGATTCCTCCTCCAAATTCCTATCCACCCTCTCTTCTTTGGGTTATCTCATTCTCTTCTTTCCCTACATTTCTGAATTCCTTATTCTTTTCTCCTCTCTTCTTCACACTCCTCACTCTCGCTCTCGCCATCTTCATCTCCTCCTCGTCCTTCAACACCTCCACCTCCTTCACACCACTCCACCTCCACCTCACCTCCACTCCACCTCCTCCTCCTCCTCCTCCTCCTCCTTCTCCACTACCCCTCTTCCTCCACCTCCTCCTCCACCACCACCTCCAACTCCTTC